GCTCCCTGCGGGAGACGCCACCCCGGAGCGTCGTCTTCGAACACGCTGAAGACCCGGCGTCCGCCGCTGCGTCCGCTCCACCCTGCCTCGGGGAGGGCCCGCTGCAGAGGTGTAGGGAACCCTTTAGGCCCCATTCCGGCTTTGGGGGGGGCGGGGGAGAAGAGGGAGTGGAAGAAGTGTGACAAAAGCGGCTGGAGTCAAGGTCTTCGTCTCTGTCATTTGCGTTCACTTAGACCTGAGAACGTGCTTACTTCGGAATGCTAGTTTAGCTTACAGCATCTACTGCGGTTAGTAGATTTAGGTTCTGGTGAGGCTGCTATTATGAAAAAAAAAAGGTCAGAAGAAGGTAGGAAAATGCAAGGTGGAATTTTGTCTCCACTCCCACCCACCCCCAAAATGAAAAAACCCTGATCGTCAGTGCCAGCATCCCACCAGCTGTGAGTCCGCTGAGGGTCACTTGGCTAGGGGGATACCTGCTTGGCCCACTCACCCTGCACGTCTGGGAAGCCCATCTCAGCGTCTGCTGGCCCAGCAGTGCTCCCAGCTGTGGCGTGGGAGGGATGGCCAGACCACCTCCCAGAGAGAAGGATGGGGGAGGTTCTCACGTCCCCACGTCCCCATGGTTCTTGGCCTTACGACCTCAGGGTGGTCACCTCCTAGCTGGTCTTGTCTTGGCTAGAACATGACGACTGCCACCTGAAGGGCCACATAAAAATAACCACACCAGGAGAGCACTGTTTCCACATGTGGATGTCCATCTTCTTGCCCAGGGACAAGGCCCACCAAACGGTGCTCTCGCCAGAGATGTTTCACAAGCCAAAGAGAGGGTTTGTGAAACCACCAGAGCCCCCAGCTTCCTGAGGACAGTTGCTTGTGGGCTTCCTCCCCAATTCCAATAAATGTGTCAAGTCCAGGTAGAAAGTGGAGGAATCTGGGGGCTGGCCCGTGGCTCACTCGGGAGAGTGCAGTGCCGATAACACCAAGGCCACGGGTTCGGATCCCATATAGGGATGGCCGGTTTGCTCACTGGGTGAGTGTGGTGCTGACAACACCAAGTCAAGGGTTAAGATCCCCTTACCGGTCATCTTTAAAAAAAAAAAAGAAAGTGGAGGAATCTGGACACCACTAACCAACTTTTGTCCAACTCAAGGCCAGGCCTTCAGCCCCCTCCACCTCTGCTCATTGGAAAATTCCTCCCTGTGGCCAGGGTGAAATCTCCTCCCTGGACGTCTGCCCTTGTCCTGGGGCTGCTCTGAAGACCAGGCCTCGGCTGGCAGGAGCCACGCCAGGGAAACAGAAGGAACGGCAGGAGCGCTTGCTGATGCCTCTCCATGGTTAAAATATCAGAAGGTGCAGGCTGTGTAGACACGCTGGAGGAAACGGGGCTAGAGGGTCATCTGGACCTTTGCCGGACCCTCGACTGTCAGTCGTGCTTCTCAACACTCGCCTTCCTCAGGGCTCCAGAGATTCTAAAGAATTCCCTGCAATGAAAGTCCTACAGTTGGTTTTTGTAAAGATGGGACCAGGCCTCCAGCGGCTCTCAAGAGAAACAGTTTCTGGAGGCCAGGCCAGGGTCTTCCGTTTCCATCACCAGGCAAAGTCCTCGTCTTCGCATACCTGATCTCTTTCAAGTGGAGTTAGGACCAGCCCCTGAACCACACGATGTCAAAAGTCCTCTGCAAGAATGGGAACCATGGTGTGCGTTTACAATTTTATTAACTATGTCAAGCTTCCTTCTGTATTTTGAAATAATAGGCATTGTTTATTCTCATGTCTGTAATAGTGAAAAACTGGAGAAAGATGTGTTCACTATGTACTAAGTGATGTTCTGTAGGTTGAATGGGGTCGCCAGAAATATGTGCTGAAATGAATGTGATCTTATTTGAAAATAGGGTCTTTGCAGGTGTGATCATGGGTTAAGATGGGTGGGTCATTAGGGTGGGACCTTATCCGATTTGATCATGAAAGGGTCTCAGAGACCCATGGGGTCCATGGGCCACAATTTGAAAACTGCTGGTCTGAGCCATCCCTGTGTTCCTGCCGGTCCCCTGGCTGTGACCAGCGTAGGTGTGGCCTAGGACGGGGCACCCGCCATGGGTCATGCCTCCCATGCCTTCTGCCATGTGACACAGCAGTTCTCTGTTGCCGTAGCCACCTCTGGGTGGATTTTCTGTTGCTGGAAGTTAAACTGAGCCTAGTAACGCATGTAATATCTAGTATTAGTGGGGTTTGGAGGGGGGAGGGGTGGAAGTGAAGGGGGCATTTTTCTTTTTTCTTCCATGTTTAATTTTTTTTTTCCCTCTCTGGTTATTTTTATTGTTTGCTGAGGAATGGTTGGAAGCACCAGAGAGTGGGGCCACAGGGGAAACTGACACCGTTTTGGCTGGTTTCTAGTCTCAGAGTTCCACGCAGGAGTGTTGTTGGGGCTGCAGACAGCTAGTCATTGCCTCGGAAAGACCACCGCCGCCGTTCGTTGAGCTTGACTGAATGAAAAACAGCTTTGCGACTGACATACCGGTCCACGATCCCTGTGCCGTGCCAGGATTCGAGCTCCTGTTTTCAGATCAGCGGGGAGCATTAAGGGAATCGAGTCTGGAGACCTAATCTGGCTGCCACTCTCCTGAGCCACTCCCACGGGACTCAGTGAATGGAGGGCCGGGGAGTTTCCACCACCATTAATGATGATTAATAACAATTATGGAGTGCTTACTAAGGGGTGCTGTATTAGTCCATTTCTGTTGCTTATAACAAAATACTTGAAACTAGGTAATTTATAAAGAAAAGCAAAATTTATTGCTCACCGTTTCTGAGGCTGGAAAGTCCAAAGTCCATCTGGTGGTGGCGACAGTGACCCAGGGGTCTCACATTGCAAAATGGTGGAAGCAGAGAGAGAGAGAGACAGACTCTCCTCTTCTTTTAAAGCCCTCAGAACCACACCCCTGACCACCATTGTTAATCCATTCACTACTGCAGGGTCCTACAATCCAATCACCTCTTCAAGGCTCCAACTTTCAGTTACCATAATAGGATTTCCCACCCTCTTAACAGTCGCAGTGGGGACTAAGTTTCTAATACACAAAACCTAGGGGACAGAATTCAAGCTTCAAGGAGTTTTGGGGGACATAATTCAATCCACTACAGGTGGGAAATGCAATATGCATTCCCTGAGCGTTCAGTAAGTTTTTTGTTATTTTCTTTTTTAGTGATGACCAGTAAAGGGATCTTCACCCTTGACTTGGTGTTGTCAGCACCACGCTCTCCCAAGTGAGCCACGGGCCGGCCCAAGTAAGTTTACACATAATTTTACAATAACCCTGAAAGACTGGCCAGCTGCCAAAAAATAAAATAAAATACCCCTGAAAGGCAGCTACTATTACCATCCTATTCGATATATGAAAAACGGAGCCATTAGAAGGTATGTTTGTGTTGGCCAGCTAGCTGACCTAACAGGCTCGGCCTTTTAACACCAAGGTCACAGGTTTGGATCCCCATAGTAGCCAGCTGATTTCCTCCTAAGTTATTTACATGTATCGATAGTTGTTCAAATTGTTGTTTCTGTGAGGAGACAAGCACTGGACCATCCCATTCTGCCATCTTGTTGACTTCAGGGCTGCCAAACATCTGAGGTTCTGATGGAGGCAGGCTTCTCAATCAGGGGAAGGCACCTGAAAACCCCACACACAGACCATCCGCCTGCCGGTATTTCCTCTCTTCAGAAGGGTGAAGGATGCCCTACTTTCAAGTTATCCATTTCCTCCTGTGGAAACTACGATGTCGCTCTTTACAGAAGCAGCAATTAAGACAGCTCTATTGGACAAGCTCCAGAATCATCCTGAGTGATAAGTGTTTACCTAGAACTTTCTTCTGTTTCCAAGGTGTGATTCAAATAACTTCGCACTAGGTAAACCTGGGGGTGCATCTGCCCCAGATCCACAGCTGGCCACTCTGCAAGTGTCCAGAGCTTCGCTGGGTGCACCAGCCCAGGCAGAGGCCACAGGGGAAAGCCCATGCTTAATTTTAAGTGTTAACATAGTTTTCATTTCTAAAATTAGTTAGGACTGTTTATTTGCAAACAGCAGAAATGCAACTTGAAATAGCTTAAGCAAGAAATCAATTTTACAGAAGGACACTGGGGTGTGTAATCCAGAAAGGGTTGACTTGCCGTGTGGTAGGAAGGGCCAGGCTGTGGCCAGGCTCAGAAGCATCAGAGCTGGGGACCCAGAGCCAGTGAGGCCAGCCTTCTTTGCCCCTCCATCAGCATCCTCGTTTTTTCTATTGCTGCAGACAGACTTCCTCCTTGGAGGAGAAAACATGGCTCCCAGGTTTTGCCCCTTCAAGAGAATGAATGGCCTGATTTGCTCTCAGGTCCAACCCCCAAATTTCCATTTAAGGACTCACTGCCCTGGTGGGAATCGAAGCCCACCTCTGGGCCAGTCAGTATGTGGCGGGGGCCCTCTCTGCCCACCAACCAACAGAGAGGACCTTGTCATGATCAGCGACCCTACATCTTAGTATGTCCTCTGAGCACTTGTGAATAAAATACCACTATTAATAAACCTGAAAAAAAAGACACTATTAATAAACCTGAAAAGAAAAATACCACTGTGAACAGACACACCATTTAGCAGTTGCGTCACTACAACCAAGTCAACAGAGTCAAAAAATACTTAAAAATAGGTGCCACTCGAAAGTTAAAGAATTAACATATGATCCAGCAATTCACACCATTTAGCAGTTGCGTCACTACAACCAAGTCAACAGAGTGAAAAAATACTTAAAAATAGGTGCCACTCGAAAGTTAAAGAATTAACATATGATCCAGCAATTCCATTTCTGGTTATACACTCAAAAGAAGTGAAAGCAGGTCTCAAAGAGATGTTTGCACAGCCATGTCCACAGCAGCGCTATTCACAGTAGCCAAAAGGTGAAATACGTGTCTGTCAACAGATGAATGAACAAAATGTGGTTTGTACATACAGTGGAATATTATTTGGCCTTAAAAAGCAATGAACTCCTGACACATGTCACAACATGGATGAACCTTGTGGACATCATGCTAAATGAAATAAGCCAGACACAAAAGGACACACACTGTATGAGTTCA